CCACACATGCCTAACTTCACATTCCTCAACATCCATACCAAACAACCACACATACCTAACTTCACATTCCTCAATATCCATACCAAACGAACAACCACACATGCCTAACTTCACATTCCTCAATATCCATACCAAACAACCACACATGCCTAATTTCACATTCCTCAATATCCATACCAAACAACCACACATACCTAACTTCACATTCCTCAACATCCATACCAAACAACCACACATACCTAACTTCACATTCCTCAATATCCATACCAAACGATCAACCACACATGCCTAACTTCACATTCCTCAATATCCATACCAAACAACCATGCATGCCTAACGTCACATTCCTCAATATCCATACTAAACGAACAACCACACATGCCTAACTTCACATTCCTCAACATCCATACCAAACAAACAACCACACATGCCTAATTTCACATTCCTCAATATCCATACCAAACGAACAACCACACATGCCTAACTTCACATTCCTCAACATCCATACCAAACAACCACACATGCCTAACTTCACATTCCTCAATATCCATACCAAACAACCACACATGCCACACTTCACATTCCTCAATATCCATACCAAACGAACAACCACACTTGCCTAGCTTCACAATCCTCAATATCCATACCAAACGAAACCACACATGCCTAACTTCACATTCCATCCACACCAAACAAACAACCACACATGCCTAACTTTTCATGCATTGACATTCATACACAGTATCCATAGCATGCAATTAATATAAGAGAGTTTCTATTGAATACTTACAAGGTCGTGGTGATACATTGGGGAGAGGGACATCAGAGTAGAGTTGACCAGTGCCACTCCCACTGACACCTTCATTAATGTTATGTAGTTGCCTTAGATCAGCTGTAAAAAAAACACAGTCAAAGATCTGTTCAGTTTTAATTTAATGATATTCATTATTCTAAGCAAAAGCTCAAAGCAAGTACATTCTGTAGAACTAAATCTGTCTCTTCCTTGATGGTAAAAGTCTAACTTTACTACCATAGAGTGTTTTCAGATTTACCTGTATACATGTACATTAAACAACCCCCCCCCCTCCCCCTATTACCCTCTTTATCTGGACACTTATACATACCAACTATATTTCCTTTCACATCCTTCATTGGAGCACCTCCACCCCCTTTACCCCATGGATCATACGACCTGGCTTCTGCTTCTAGTTTTCTATTATATCGATCCTCTTCTTCCTTCTCCTTTTTCCTTTTCAGCTCTCTTTCCCTCATCTGTAACAAAAAAAAAACGAGGAAAACTTGTACTTCCCTAGATGCAGCATCAGCAGTGACATACGTGCCACAGGAGAGTATTATTTGAAGTAAGTCACATAGATAGAATAAAATACAGACGCATTACCTGTTCTAACAGTTCTTGCTGGTATGACTTTGGATCCTGCTGGTGGCGAGGGCTAAGCTGCTCATCACCGACATAATTAATAATGGCACTCTCACCACGTAATATTGCAGTGCTGGCAAGAACAAATATTCACATTATTACATTACTTCCTAGAATTTATCTGTTTGTACATTAGCAGATGATATGTTGCATTTCACCTTCACAGACATCACTGATCAGTTTAGTTCATTTAATTTAAACTCTGTTGCTTATTCCCAATGTTGTAATTAGATAATTGGTAGTGTTACTATGGCAACAAACTGAATGCAAATACATCTTAGAATGCCAATGATCGCCAAGATCTCATTGAGAGTGAGAAAGTCATGAGATTTTGTGTTTTATTTTCTCTTATCATGACGTCCACTGTTCCTCTGGTTCCTCTAACTATGACATTTGGAACAGTACCAGGTAAATACAAATGTACGATGACAGGAGAGCATGGAACACTATTAGGGTTAAAAACAAGCTTTCTGCCTCTTTTGCTCTCAATGACATTTCAATGGCCATCTAAAGTCTATCATATCAAAATGAGGATTGGGAATTCAATATTAACTGACTGAAAACAACAGCACTGTCAGACATGTGTAGTGGGCTTTATAGCCACAGATGGACACTTATGCAACAGAGACAGGGTAATCATAATACAACTGAGATACAACTTACTCCTGTCTGGTTAGTTCTGGTCCTCTTGGGTTGAGGATTCCACCTGGTAGACCACCTGATAGCCCACCTGGTACACCTCCCACAATACCTGAGCCAGCAGGTACCATAGGAACAGTACCTGGAATAACACCCTGCTGACCATAGGCCATTCCTATAGGTGGACCCCCTAAGAAAGAGATAGGAACAACATCTTTAGCATACAATAGTCAGCCCAACAGATTGTGAGGCTGCAACTGAAAGATCGTCAGTAAAATAATATTCTTCTTTCATCACTAGAGGGCAGCAGTCACAGGAATTACTCGCGTTGAACTGAGGGGGCTCACTTCACAATTACAGAATATAGCACTTGAACTTGAAAAGGAGATTAACCCAAAATGATGATTTATGATGATTACTATACTAAAGCATATCATATAACAGTGAAATGGAATTCTAATACACAATACCAAGAATTCATAAGATAAGGGTATGGTAATAACAAATCCATGCAAAATAATATGCAAAGAAGATGACATTCCATGAGAGGTTCACACATCTGTCAACTGAATTGCATCACTGAATACAGAGAACGCTTGGAGAGGTTCTTATGAAAAAGTCTTCAGAAAGTCAAGAACATGCTCTGTAAACATGCAAGACAAACAAAAACACAATATTTTTGCACATTGTATTTTTGACTCACAATTATTGCACAACTTTTTTTTTTTATAAATCCTTGCTATTACATATATTGTACACATTGTCTGCACAAGTATGCATTTTTCAATCCTGACATTTTCACAAACCAGGATTCTAATAGATCTCCTGGATTGTCGTTGCAACTATGTTCTCCACTGTTTTGTTTTATAATATAAGCAGTGAAAATACTCTAAAGAATTAAAGCAATGCTAGTGAGCATGTTTTAGGATTATTTAGAAATATTAAACTAAGAAGAAAAGAATTATATTTTTTATGAAAAGCTGCTAACACCTGGCATTTTAATTTTAATTAGATAACACATAAGCATAACACCAGCATGCAACACATGCAGAAATAGATTCAAAATTTACGCATATAAAACCTGTCCTGCCACCCTATAAAAGCCTTGAAATGTCAGACCCTGACTGATTAATAAGTTTAGTGTATTAACTGTTCAACAAATCAATTGAAAGAGTAAAAACTAAAAATAATTATAATTAAAGTATTCAGTCAAGTTTTTAAGTGTTGTAATTATTTGGCAAAACAACATAATGAAACAGTTAATTATTAACTTTATTAACCAATCAGAAACTGTCGATTTTACCAGAAGATGCAATTAATTCCTATATACCACCCCTACCTCCTAGTTTGCCAGCATCGGGCATTAGTTGCTTGGTTTGTTGGAAAAGCTGTTGCTGTGCTTGGAGTTGCTGTTGTTGCTGCAGTAAGAGTTGCTGCATATTGGGTGCAGTGCTACCTTGTAACCATGTGGGTGGAGGAGGGTACTTGTTATCTGCTGGTCAGAGTAAGATCCGTACAGAACGGTGCTCAGTGCGAGTGAATAAAAACTGCATTTGAACGCTGAGTGCGTGTGATACCATAGATGTCATGGGCATTAGTATAATGTTACATTTGGACATGTGCATGGCTTGCTAGTATCGTATTTACTCTATAATACTAAAAATTCTGTTCAGAAGCTGAAAAAATTTACAATGTTCTGCCAGTAACATAATGCTACAGTCACCAGGTATATAGAGTTCAAAGTTCAGCAACAAGCATACTATTGTTATATTCAAACAAGTATGCAAACTCAATGCACGAACCATGCATTACAAGAATATAGAAAAGTTTACAATGATAAACGCATGAAAATGAATGTGGTTGCACAAGTATGATGGAGACAAAATGACGCGATGTATGTTTGCAAAGAACGACGTATTGGTCATTACAGATTGCAATGTACAGTGTACATGTCAAAGCTACAAAGAGGAACTATCTATGATGATATGCTACACAGAAAAAGTGTGTGTATAAATATGGACACAGACTGGTAAAATATGCCTACGCTGGTAATCAGCAATTTAAACCAAACAATACTGACAAATACAACACAACTATAAAATACACACAATTTTACAATTGAAACAAATTTGTATTCCCTCATTCTACATTCATATTGCTGATATTTGGAAAAAACATAAAAATCACAATAAACCAAACACCACTGTAAACTGAACAATTTCCACAGTTTATTTGGTGTACATTTCAAAAGATTTCCCTCTATGACACAACAGAACTGAATTACCGGATGGTTTCGTTCGTTCCTTGAGTTTTTGAGTCCATAATGCTTAGCATGTAGAAAAGTATGGTGAGTTAGTACTGACATAAGAAAATGGAAACAATTAAATTTACATATAAGTAAACAAGGTCCACAACAGGCACAAAAACAAAAGATCCTAGAATAAGTTTGAGATAAATTTATGAAAAAAAAAAATGAAAACTATATAGAAAGAACTATTCCCTATTTGTAAGGTATCAATTTGGCCTTGAAATGACTTGTGTTTCTACATGTATACTCAATACAAACTTAAATATACAGTATAATTTTCATGCAAATTAGGCATTTAGAATTCACAATTGTACAAGAAAACAATTCTCAGCTTGCAGATAACAGCAATTCAAAACGGAAAATAGGAAATACACTACAGAGGTAAGAATCATCAAATACTAGTACTACCTATCGTTTAACAACAGGCACAAACAAGACTCACTAAAACATTTGCAACTATAGAAACTAATTGAAATGTACAATGGACAAAGAAATGCGTTACCATCCTCCTTGTCTAATTTCTTCATATATTCTGTAGCAGTACAAAATGTGAATGAGAAAAAAAAAAGAATTAGAAAGAATAATTTAACTTTCCTATTCTCAAGGGCAGACATTTAGGCATTTTCACTGCCGGGAAACCATCAAAGTGAAAACAAAGGCTGAAAACTCTCAGAAAACGGTACTATGGGATGGTTGTTGAGACTGAACAGTGTGACAACATTACCCCTATATGTGCAACATATATATTCGGTTGCTCAGGATTACCTGAGTTTGAGTGGAGTTTGTGCTGTTTCCTCAACTTTTTTCACCGGCTCTTCAACCAGTGTTCCCCAGCAGCTCGCACAGAGCCCATAGAAATACATGGTACAGTTGTGCGCACCATAGCAACATAGAATGTTTTGTGACATAGCTCTACTCGTGAGGATAAGCAAAAGTTGGCAAATACAATGAGTGCCCTCTAGAGGTGATTTATTAAATTCCTCTGTTTTAACACAGAACATTTGTAACAGACAGACAGAGAGACAGACAGATAGATAGATGGATAGACAGACAGACAGATAGATAGATGGACTGAGACGCCATGATACATACCACTAAGTTTATTTCGTTCCACATTCGCTGTATGCATGTGAAGAAGCCAGTCACATAATTAGAATATGTGTGTAAGAAAATGAATTAATTATCCAAATTAATGAATACATTATCTAAAAAAGCAGTTGATTACACTTTCACAGCACGAAGATTCAATAATTCGCCAGCAACTGCAGGTGTACAGTACAAAAACACATTGACATATTTCCCAAATTCCCCTCAAAAACATATGTAGTAAGTTCTCTGAAGATAGTTCAAACATTGACAGCTACGTAATCCATACTGTATACAGTTATTATCAATATTTATGCCAAGGTTAGCAATGTATAACAATTTAATCAATGAGGTGCCTTTACATTGGCAGATTTTGGTTTGAAAAGAAAGTTTTACTGTAAATTACCGCCAAAAGTTATCGTCTCAGGATTTAGAAGTGCTCCTTATAATGGTGGCATGACAAAGACAAGAATAATTAGAACATGTCAGATCAATCAGCAGAAAAAAATGTTAAAAACAGATTAGTAGAAAACAAATTTACAAAAAAAATCCACACAATTCTATGTATTTTTTTCACCATGCATTTTGACACAGATGAAACATGGATAAAATAGAACTGAACCGGAAATAGAAATCCAAACCAACACTGAGGAACCTTAAAAAATTCAGCATGTTTAAATTTCATGTTTCCATGACGATGAACCATATAACCTCAAGCTGATTTGTGAGATCTCACAGAACTAGGACCTTCACTACACACAAGACTGAACATGCATACCTATACTTATGGATATGTAATTTTCACACAATGCAATGACAACATAAATATTTATTTATCACAGAATGCTACTGTCTATTATTACCGGATGTTCTGTTGAGCGACTGAGTCATCTCATCAATCCATGTCTTGCCAGTATTAAGTGACCCTGAGTAAGGAAGTGATTAGTATAAACAACACTTTGAAAAATTCTGAAAGCTCCACTCACTAGTCTAGAGTTCTGAATGTGCTGGTTCACAAATACAAAAGTTATTGTGTAATTAATATTACGGTATAGTGTTCAGGATGCATAACTATGACAATGAGAAAAACAAAAATGCATAAACCAGTTTATGTGTGCTGTTAAAATATTTACTTTGATGTGAAGAGACACCACAATAAAAGCATACATTACAAACAGTTAACAAACACATACACTTTTAGACACTCATAAGAACTGCTTTAATTTGAGTGGGCTGACATGTACAAAGTAAAATAACACAGTACAAAATGTAGATAAAAGGTTGTCGGAACATCACAATGCAAAGCAGATGCAGATAAAACTTAGTGCACCATCATTATCAACAATCAACAATGTTGCTTTATCTGATTGTGACGACATATACAGGAAGAAATGGCGTAGTGTTGACACAGATTAAGATTGCTGCAACATCCTTGATTTTGGGAGTGATGAATGAAATTGACAAAATGAAACATGACGTGAGGAACACAGATTAATGGATGCAACAAAGACACAAATGGGAAATACATAAGCCTATGCAATAAATACAGAAATGAACACCACACAGTAAATATGCATTGATGATATCTTATACGTCATGCAAACTCAGAAAAGTGATGCTTGAAGTGTCACAGTCGTCACATAGCACATGCTAAAATTTCATTTTTACCTGCATTTCCATTGGCTTAAATCCTTGACATTGGTCAAGATTAGCCAGTCAAATATATTGTACTATTAATTGTCAATCAGGCTAGGGCAGGAGTATTTCACAGACACACATGTGATCCACTTCACAAATTCCATATGCAACGACTGTGGCGACTGCTCAATTACTTTTGATGAAACAACTATTATATAACATGCAAATTATAATGAAGTCAATGAGGTCAAACTTACTTTTAGCCGTTTCTGGATCTAGTGGATCTCTCAGTCCGTAATACACATAGGGATCATTAGGATTAAGCTGACTGGTCGGATACGACCCAAGATCTAGTGGTCTGAATTGGAGAAAAGAAAACCATAGAAAACTGAATGTACTGGAGGCAAAAAATATAATTACACAGAAAAAGTAAAAGGGAACATACAGCATAATTATCAGCTGGGTGTATTGTCTCTTATTCTGTTGATAGTGAACTGATTTAAACACAGTGAATAACACAAAAGAAAGTACATGTATTGTTTCATTCACAAATGAGTAAATTTGAAATCTAATAAATATTCCTGAGCTTGCAAATTGCTAGAATGAAACTGTGAATATGTCCCCTTTCTTTTAATGGGATACATCCTTGGAGATAACTAAATGCTTTATATTATATTTGGTCTTCTTCCATTATGTGTGTGTATGTTTTCTATATTTTACAATCATTTCATAAACTTGCAAAGTTAACCTGAATGCCAAAAATCACAAAACTGATATGTTTGGTACAAAACTGCATAGATGTAACATCTGTCGTAATCAGCAAGTGTATTAACAGTCGACCCCCTCCCCTCCCCTCCCCTCCTCCTGTATGAAGCCAAGCACAGCTACTAGATATGCAAATGAGACATACATTCTTACCAGCTATGCTGAGAAATATTGGATATGCAAATGAGACATACATTCTTACCAGCTATGCTGAGAAATACTGGATATGCAAATGAGACATACATTCTTACCGGCTATGCTGAGAAATACTGGATATGCAAATGAGACATACATTCTTACCAGCTATGCTGAGAAATACTGGATATGCAAATGAGACATACATTCTTACCAGCTATGCTGAGAAATACTGGATATGCAAATGACAAATACACATACTGAACTCACACTTGATTAGAAAATAAATGATATGAATGTATACTCACTGTTCAAGAAGTGACGATGTTCTTGGTTGTGCTCTGGCATAGTTTGGTTTCTCCTGCACAGCTGCATGATTAATTGGGTCAAAGCGAGGTTTACTTTCTTGTGGAGGAAGATTCTTTAAACGATCAGCCTAGAAAAGACAAGAAACTGAATGGTCAACAAGATCTGGAGAGACAAGTACATAACTGCCATTTTTTTTTATTTCGCCTATGTCACCATGGAAATCAGAACAGTGGCGTGACAATGGGAGAGAGTAGAACAATAATTGAGTGCTGCATACAGTGTAGTTTTGGATTACACCAGAAATGTTGGTGGCAATATTTTCCGTGATTATTTTTTGTTAGATTTGAAACAAAAGAAAAAGGATAGGATTTGCCCACATTGCTAGATTTTGATGTCCTGACGACAATGACGAGACATACATCCGCTCTAGACATACAATCAATTACAGCAAAGAAAGATATCAAGATTGGCTTTGAATAATAATCATACATATACTCACAAACTTTTCTGGGTCTCTTTCACCCGATGCATTCACTGACAATTCAGCATTTCTTTCCCTGAATAAAAGACATTACCAAATAATTTAGTACAGGAACAATTAATGTTGCAGATAGTTTTCAAGTCGTAGCATATGTTTTGGAGATTACGGCATTATGAATTTAAAGTCATATCCTCTTGCAGTCATACCACTCTCTAACAGTCTTACTGCCCTCTAACAGAATCTAGCATGATTCTCTTTTTTTTTTGTTAGTGGTACCGGTTTTTTTGTGCAAATATCTGTTGGCTTCAAAACGACAGAAATAGACAAGTACACACTGTTTTGACTTTGAGTTATTGATATTCGAATAACAAACAATATGACAAATGTTCCACTCATAACAGAATGATACTGAAATGAAATGAATTAAGTGACACTTATAAATATGCAGCATGCATTAACATAATGAGACAGAAAAGCATGCACATTATGCAAATGATGTCACGTTTCGATGTCTTGCGTAGGACGGAAATATATGTGTTGTATATATCACATGGGACACACATAAAACACAACACAGAGTGTCAACAATGTTTGTTTTTCATCAAATTACTGCCATGTACAAGACAACATGTGACTTCATTTCTGAGATGTACAAATGAGGTAACGATGTGTTTTACATAACGCCACGCATGATTCTGAAACTGATTATGATTAGAAGTAATAAAACTCAGGAGACCACAATACTGGGATATGAACTGGAAAGCTTACAGAGAACGGGTAGTGTCATTCTAGAAATAGAAACATGCTTTTTTTTTAACAATTACCCCTCTCAGGATAAGAACTTTCAACGTATAATTTTTAATTTTCGATAAGAACTGCTTTCGTCTACATGTATGACCTTAATTGACTAAAGAAAACTTTTAATATTTTTAACTGCTGAACAAGCCTTTCAAAAGAGCATGTATTTGCATTATAAATGCATGTGCTATAGTGCACCGTAGTTTAGGAAAAGAAATTATAGACCTATAACGTCAAGTCATCCCAGTTCAAATATGTAAAGAGTCAATTTTCACAACAAAATGTTTGAAATGCTTTAGATGGTGATAAATCCAGTGCAGTGTTATGGAGGACCATTCTTTTGGTTGACCACAGTGCAACATAATTTTGTAAATACAGACATGTGCTAATATGTCTGTTTGGCTTTCAAATTTGTTATGTACCATGCCTGGTTCAATTGAAATGTGCAAGCCTAGTTTCTGCCAGCATTGCAACATGGTTGGATTGTGTTTGATAGAATAATAGAAAGACAAATCTGAAAATAATAAATGGTATTGGATTAACACATCGTTGATGGTGGTATACTATATACAAGTCAATATAGGATATCTGTAGAGACTTTCAGCAGACGATGCATTAAAAACTAAAATGTATGTGTGGGCAAACCAATGCACTGTGCTCAGGTAAAAAATGTATATGGTATGGTGGGTGGAATGGCATGTGCAAGCCCATGTACAAACAGCATGTGATGACCATGCAAATGCCATGCACTAAGAGTGGTCACGGCATGCAATGACCTTGAACAAGTGGTATTTGAGGCATGCATACAGAATGGACTAACAGCAGCAATCTAGATGAGGTGTACCAGTATACATAACTCCCTTTATTGAGTCTTACCGTTGTTTTTCTCTGCAGGGACAGAAGGTGGTAAAAAGGGATTGTGTCCATAAAAAATAAAATGTAAAAAGAAACATGGATGGGTTTTGAGATTAGGAATTCCATGAATGAGTTAAAAGGGCAATTATTTAATATGCATTTAATCATAGTACATAGTATGTACAGAAACTTTTGTTATTCTGTATTCAAGGAATATGTCAAAAAGTAGGCTAATTTTTTTTAATTCTTTTCTTTGTCATTTCTTTCTTTCGGCCAAGATTCAAGAGAAAATAATAGAAATCAACTCATTTATGGAATACTGTAAAATACATTATTTTTGCTCAGAATTTTTGTTTTCCTACTTTTTCGCTGAAGGAATGATTCAGTTAAAATAAAATCCAGTGAATAAACTTTTTTTTCTATATTTTACATTCAGCTTGTCAAAAATCAGTAAAAATAAATTTCAAAGAAGACGTCCAGAAATGCTTTTCAGCGAAAATTAATTCCAGCTAAAATAAAGTAATCTACACTACTGGTAACTTTAGCATTTATTCCTACAGGGTTAATAGTTAAAAGACCTTAAAACCAGAAAATAGAACTTAACATAAATGTGTCAACACATATATTGCACACATTTGTGTTAGTTTTCATATAATAACAATTTTTTTACTAAAACAATTGAAATCCATGATGTTTCCAAAACATTTGCACAATTTCATGTATTTGTCTATAATTTTTTGATAATTTGGATCAAAAGGTCATGATTGTACATTAAACTACAGATTATATCAGAATTTGTGAAACAAATTTGGAAACAATTATGCATTTTTGTTGTGATACGTAGATTTAACATTGACTCTAGGATTTAAACCTGGCTCAGACATGCAACTTCAAAGAATAAGAATCAAAAACTCAATTGCTTAATTTAGTAAATTTTTCAAAATAATGTGTAAAACTGCAGATTATTTTCCAGATAATCTTTACCTTAGTTAAGACACACAAACAAGAAACAAATCATCAAATTATCTTTTAAGAAACAATCAAAAACTGAAGTTGGATAAACAGTAATTAATATCAATATAAAAAAAAAAAAAAAATTAAACTTAAGAATATGCATAATCTAGTGAACAAGTGAATGCTCACAGCAACGCGTTTAATACTAAAAGTCATATTTCATTTTTGATGTACCTTCGTTTTGCTTCTCTGGCTTCAGCAATTTGCTGTTCTAAATCTCTTCGATAAGCTTCTTTCTTCCTTTGAGCTGCACTTTGAGAATCACGCTCACCTGTGAAGTCAGAGCATATTTATTTTAATTGAACAAAAAACAGAATCGAAATAACTCAAAAAAATAAACTGGAGAGTATCATTACTGGCTAAGCAAATAAATCCAAATTGTTGGCAAACATGAGCCTGAAATGGACTATACCTAGTTTTAATCCAAGACCATCATCATCTATGGGTGCTGATCGGGCACCACCTCTTGTTGGTGCACCCCTGTATGGTGGCCTACTAAATAAAGATATGAAAAAACAGTGAAAATATTATTAACACATTCATAATAAATTGAAAGATAAATAGTAACCACAGTGGGGATCAATATTCACTTTTAATGCGCTGAAAACAAACTAATAACACTGCATGTTATTAATCAGGGCATTTTCTAACCAATTGTCCAACAGAGCATTATCTATATAATTACTGCCTGCAATCGAGATACAATGTCAACACTCATGGCAATTGTAGAGACTATGATTGTCTGTGATTTCCATATACTTATAGAAAATACCAAACTTTGAAGTTATGGTACTCGACGCAATGCCTCCTGGCTGGGGTTCCAAGCTAAAACTCAACATAAATTGTTGCACATGCTACTTTCAGTAAACAAACTGTGCATGTGCAAAAATGCAACAATCTTGCACATAAGTTATAATAAGGAGTCATATTACCCAGCAGTCATAAATCAGACAGGGCACCCTAAGTTAATGTATTTTAAAATGGACCCCTGTTAAGGGTTGTGTATTGTAACTCATTCTATTCACCAAACTATAAACTCACCTATCCGCTTCTTCCAGACTTCTCCTTCGACCTGATGAACTTTCACCCTGTTGTCAACAAATAGGGAAATGACATTAATTCAAGAATGATTTGAAAATCATTTTTTTTTTCCTGATTCAGTTTAACAGAATATATAAATTTCTATATTGGCCAAGCAAATAGAGTTGTAAATGGATTACAGAAAGGCTGTTCAAAGCATTGATATCATTTTGATCTGTAGTAGACCATCAATGTAGATATGTTTTTGAGATATTGTAGATGAGAAACTACTAGACAACCAAACACAGTTGTCGATGTAAACAACATTGCCATGTGTAATGTGTGGCCCCATATTCAGATGAATTATCCAATTACATTACAATCTTGAATACTGTGTGTTATATAATGTATGTAGATACCTACCCAGTTATATGGGGCTCTGTTGTCATACCTAGCTCTGTCTGGAACATCACTGTGAGAAAACATAAAGTGAAGAGTAAGATTAAGTATTTATAAAGCATATAGTGGCTAACTATAATCAGTTGTGCAATGTGAAGAGTTGCTCTGCTGTTCGTTACTACAATCAGCAAACACTGATAGGGGTTACCTGCTACTAATAGCTCCTTGCCTTATAGCTTCATCCCGGAAACGAACTTTCCTATAAAAAAAAAATATGTAAGCAAATTGAATAATTCACATTTAATAAGCAACACAGAATTGTAGCAAAACACAATAACTATTCTAGCAATAAGTTAGAAAGCATGCTCGCAAATTCACCAACAACAATTGTAAATGAACACTTTTTACTACAAACATTTATGACAAAAAATAAATCATTTACAGTTGACTAATATGGAAATTTACTAGTGCTTGGTAAAACAGTAGACATTAATGAGTGACATCGTTATACTAACCGTGTATCATACTCCTGATCCAGGTGATCCATTTTACGACTGGTCAGTTTTTCATCCTGAAAGCGTAAAAAAACACACACCATTAGAATCTGAAGCATCAATATATCAATAAAACTATCAAGACTGGGAAATACAGTAAGTTGTTTCCAATTAATCTTTTCTGGAAATGAACCGATTCTGTTCAAAATAACATTAAATGATGGATGGGTACAGATCAAAACAACATGAATGCTGTCAATATTGTTCTGTTAATACCATTAGATTACATTTCATAACTGGATTCCAGTCGTGTATTGATGGATCTCGTTCACACATTTGAAATTTAAGGACTTTGATGCATGTCAGGTTATTGGTCAATAATAAAGGGTACCCCCTGGTACAATGTATTTTGGAACTTGTCAAATAATTTAATTTTTGAAAAAAGTTTGCTATAACACTTACAAATAAACACTCAATAATCGAAGACTTAATTACAAATTGATAAGTGACTATTAGAATATATACTTAAACAGATACTTGAAGCCGATCATTCTTGTACCACCATGGGTTCTCAATGGATACAAATCTACAAGATATCAGACTGCATGAATCGCAATCGATGTGATGCTTTAAATTCATGCAAATAAATTAAAAATAATTACAATGTTTGACTTTACCTCATCGTAAGACCTCGCTAAATGCGAGTCACTGAATGCAGGCCTCATAGAACTAGATCGTCCATAGTATGGTTCCTCTTGATGTCGCCTGGAAATGCGTTTAAATACTGTCATTAATATTTCGAAACTTTTTGAAAACAAAAAATCAACATAAGTCGTCATTTACAAAATAAAGCTGCACAATTCTTTTTCTTTATTTTTTTTTTTATCAAGACTTGTAGTTAATGAAAAATGATGTCCATTGTGTCTAAAATTAACAAAGAAATTATAGAAAAATACAAAGAAATGTAAAAAATATTAGATCATGATATTGCAGGAAAGATATGCACTATGGTAATTACATCCCAGGTTAGGATGCATACACTTAATTTATAATACTCAATACATGGTAAACACATTCTCATTAATATTTATAATGAATATAAACCACTGACCTGTATCTCGCTTCTTCTTCTCGTTTCCTCCTTAACAGTTCATCATAGTTATCCACAGGTGTTCTCCAACCCTGCCGAGGAGGCAAGGGCCTTTCCCCAAAAGTCATATCTCCACCTCTCGCAGGCGGAGGACCACGATTGTCGTAATACGGCTGTGATGACTGAGTCTGTGAAGATTCATCTTTCATTCGTTTACGATAATCAACATTATGATCGTCGTGGGAATCGCGAACATTCTGCGGTGGGTATATGGGTGCATCAGGACCAACCATGCTATCAATCTGGTGATGGTGATGAAGCAAGGAAAGGAGGAGAAACAAAAAGAGAGAGAACGCAGCGATGGTGAGATGATGACATGCATGAAACTAATATATCCTTACTTTCCCAAATGTATTTGATTATCTAAAAAGTACTATTTCACAAATAGAACCGTTTTAACCTTTGCTTAGAATTTACCATTACACGCAATTATTTTACCTTGAAATATTAAAGGTATTTGTGTTTTCATTTTTACTGCAAACACTAACTTGTTAATGCATATTATTAACCAACAGAAAGACATAGCAACAGTTGTTAACAAGGCTTGAAAATACTTCATCTATATGTAACTGTCTTACACAAGATATTTTCTTTACTGGACAAGATTTGGGTTCCCTGGTTGATTGCAACATTGATTATTGACATTGACAGAAATATTTCAGGCAGAAATTTTACTATATGTAAATCAGCTTGTTCTGAATATATGAATTCTGCATTGTTAGTATCCATCTTATCTTTGATAGTTTAATGAGTTTTCATAAAAATATATTTTACTTTGAACACAATAAATTTGAATTTAAACTGAATATAATTTTACATAGTGATACTTTATTTTGTGTTACAAGTGCACTTGGAAATAGCAACCAGACAACTCACCTTACAAATTAAATATACTAAAATGCAAGGTATATTTTATAAAGTGTTGCCAATGAAACTGGATGCCCACAAGTTTAAGCCCTGTACTCAAACTAGGGACCTTATTGTGAGATCTAATAAATCTATAAAAAGTTTCAAAGATATCATATTTTTTGCCTGGCTTACCCAATGCAAAATTGTACATATGTCTAAGCAAAGACAGAAACATAAGTTTGAATGTGAAATTCCACTGTTAACTTAGTATCTAGACACACCACCACAACATACATGTTTTACATGTATACAATATATCGGTAGAATAACTACAAAATCACATTTTGTAATTTCGTCATCACACTTTGCATCATTTTCAATGAGTCATTTTTGCAGGGTGCTTTGCTAAATTCTGCAATCAGTTTAGAAAGAAATATGCAAAATGCGATGTTCAGGGATTTCATTAATAAACGTCTTTAAGTTAGAAAGGGGGGCAGTATCAGGCGGTGGTTGCAGTGCTGTAAATCCAAGCATGGTGTTGGAATCATGGGAAACTAGAAGCAGTTAGACATAATTTTTAGTTAGTAACATAATTTTTGCACACCAATGGAGAGAAACAAGAGCACCAATCAAGTATGGATGGATGAAAGATGCAAAAGCGCTAACAGCAATGGTAACAAGTATTATGAACACAAATTCAGCATGCAGTAAGCTCACATGCAGAACACCATGCACTATTAAAATTAACCTGATGAAGGCAGGAATGCAAGTTGGATAAAATAGCGGCCAAAATCAATTAAAATATACATTTATACAAAAATGGAATAAAATAACACAGGAAAGGTTGGTAAAAAAACAACTCAGAACTAAAATAACAGACCACACTACTAAAACTGACCACATTGTCTTGTGACTCATGCAGAGCAAAAGGCGGCACAGTGCTGCTCCGCCCTGCCTCGTTGGATTTGCTACTACTAGTAATGGGTTCCTGTAAAGTCAAGGTTTGGGGTAATTAAAGGAAGTGATGGTTCTATCACAATAATTTCACTTCCTGTTATAAGACTAAATGCATTATGGGTAAATAAAAAAGAATTGAAAAAAAAACTTGAAATTTCTAAACTAGAACGTTTGTATATGAGGAAATGATATCACTAATTATGACTATTAGTTGATGGCCAAGAAACTTAAATACAGAGTAAATAAATAGGACTCTAAAGTGATATATTTGGGCTTGGCGATAAACTAAATGTGAACACCTGTGAAATTTTGGCATTGACCTGTGCGAGAGTTATTAATGCGTAAATGTATAAGAAGTATCATTGGTATGATAATTCATCACTTACAGCTTTCGGTGAAACGTCCGGCTCACTCATTACACGACTGCCACCGAATCTTAGAGCTTTCTGTCGCCTTTCTCGTTCTTCTTTCTGTCGAATGAAATCATTGTATTCTTGGTTGCGTTGAATCATTGCCCTCGTCTGAGAAAAGATGAAAAATAATGAAAGCAGACTTCATAAGCTTCTCTAGAGATTTAATAGTTTTTGCTTATCATTACAGAGACATTGAACGATTCTGTTTGGATTGATTTAGAAAAAATAAAACTGACGTAACTACAGAAAGCTGTTCAGTGTGATCCAATGCAGAGAATGTACAATGTATGTATGCAAGTAATTTTTGAAGCTTTGATTTGTTGTGAATCCCAAATATTTTAACTGCCAGAACAAACAAACACGTGAGTCAGTACATGGTTGGGAGGTATTACATACTGTAAAATACTTTATTTTCGCTTGGAACTAATTTTCGCTATTTTCACTTGAGGAATGATTCAGTGAAAATAAAATCCAGCGAATATACTTTTTTACCTATATTTTACATTCAACTCGTCAAAAATCAGTGAAAAGAAATTCCATACGTAACACGTACCAAAATAGTCTTTTCAGTGAAAATTAATTCCAGCTAAAATAAAGTATTTTGCAGTACAGCACTCATTCATCCACATACCTTGGCTGAGTGTCTGTCTTTGATGGGCAGACTAGCGCCCTCGTCCATTTTGCCTCCTCCTCCTAATTTTCTCTGTGTATGAAAAATACAATCAATTACAGTACATAAAATACATGCTGTTGATGATATTACATTGTCAAAGGATAAGGTCACTGACCTAATAGATATTGATATTGATGCTTTTTTATGATATGGTCAAAATAAATAAAATACTGTAAAACATGTATTGTGGTAAAATGACGTAATAGCGAAATGTTGATTTCACGAATCTCTCACGTCTTTGTTTATTTCCTGTTTTCACAATACTTGTTTGTCGCATGCCAAAACAAATGTGCAGTTATCACCTCCATAAAAACAAAGAAAAACTGTCTAGTGTAATTAGGAAGCGCCCCGGATTTTTATGTTCCGGATTACTGTATACAAGTCCCCAAGCCTTGGCCATTTTGAATTTATAATAAAGTCAATAGCGACATCTTGAATTAGCGAATCAGTTCTCTCACTAAATTCGCTATAAAAGATATGCTCGCGAATAAGACATGTTTTACAATAGTACGCTTCCAATGTCATGTTGCAACAAATTGTGAGAGAGTGAAAATGACTTTTTTTCAGATCGTGTCTAATCTAATTATCTAATCCCATCATGGCTCTATTCAATAGAACATTTGATGGTATCTTTTTTAATCTGTGATATACAGAGCCAAAATGACAATACATTACGTATGCTATACCAAATGAGTGAAAACATGGTGATACATGAAAATTGTATTCACATTCGCTGGTAAAAGCGTCTTTGTTCAAGCTGTCTAGGTACGGTTGTATATGCACAGCAAGTACATTGTAACATGTACATGTACTCATTTTCTAACCAACAAGATTTATTTGGCTCATAGATAAAAAAAAAATTGTGTGAAACACAGTGATGTCTTAACCTTGACTTAGTGATGTATGTTACAATGAATAGACACATGCTCCAAAACATCCCTTTATTCAAGACATCACAACAAGCAAGGCTACCAAAGCACCAACTTCTGTGGAGCCAAACTGCTAAAGATGGCTCTGACTAGTTGAAATTAGTGTTTTGGTGAATTTCACCCAGTATAACTTGCTTATTTTGTCATGGTAACTGTGTTCTTCTACAGGCAGTTCAGTCAAATTTTATCATTGTTCAAGCATTTGCTAACTAACTCCCACAGTAATTAAATAATTATTTATTTTAATAATACTTACCATTCCTGATCAAAAAGGAGCTAAATTTTGAAAATAATTTTACAAAGGAAGAGAAATATTTGTAATGGCGATGAAAAATACTTTAGTAGTATTTTGATGAAATGAGCATCTTATTTCTATGTTTTATATAAATATTTTGTTGTCATAGCAATAGCATGTACATGTATGTGTGAGAGAGAATTTTACTTCAATTGAGTTTTCCCTCAAAAACAAAGCATTGAATGAAATACTGCTTTTCATATCATTAGTTGATGAGAAAAAAATAGTTGCCATGGAAACAATCATTGTTATTGATCCACAGCAATACAGTAAAATAAAATAAAAAGGAAGAAAAAAAGATGAAAAGTACCTCATTCTGAAACCTGTTGTAGTCAACAGCGTACTCGACATCCATTTTGTGTCCTTTCTAAGATGGAAGATGGAGCATGCAAACATGTAAACAAATGAAGACGCCAACGGAGAGGCGCCTCACACCAAACACAAAGACATGAAATAAGCAAAGCACCATACAACTGGCATGTAGAATTCTATGCAGTGTTAAAAATATATTAGGTCATGAGTGACTGGGATGTGACGGAGAGAGGGCGTGGATTGCTGACAGCTGTGCAAGGGAACTTGATTTTTAATTTGTGCACATCTGTGCGCATCAGGCAACCTTCGTATTTTAATTAGTGGAGCAGCCCACAATGTGCGCAGGGGTATACAAATGCACTGCTTAAATTTTAAGGGCTTCTAGGAATATTTTGTACAATGTCAAAAACAATTTCAGTCTAACATGAAAAAAAATGTTACGTAATTTCTTGAAAATCTGTTGTGAACTGATTTTAGGTCCAGGAACTACTTTACAGACTGTTTACGTAATACTTACTGCTATTTTAGCTTGTCCCGAAAAATTACAAATGTTTACACTGTTAAAGTGTAACATGCTGTATATATAACATAGCAATTATGTTTTCATTGAAAGATGCCAGAATCTACACCTGCTAAAATTGATCGCTGAGTTTAATACTTGACATATTATGTAAATTTTCCACCTTCATATGCATTAACTAAAAGCCACCTATATTTACGCTTGATGCCAATAATGCATTCCTATGTATTTATAAATTGGCAACTGATGATGATACTAATCCCATACATATAGATTACTGCTTACATTACAATTGTCTAAATGCTCCAAGTAGATTTTATTATTTGCAATGGACAAGTGAGTATAAAATGGGAATTGTGTGCGACATATACCGTATTTGCTCCATTACAATCACAAATTCAATAGATACAAAAGCTTTTATACCGTAAATATAAATTTAATAAAATAAAAGATTCAATGTTTAGTGATAAGCACTTACACTGCCTTATGATGTAATCATCATATTATTTATATAGTTAAGCTAACATGCGCTGGTAAGCCTAACTCATTATGATAAATGTAAATAATATGCTAATTATATCATAATACCAACATTAGTATCAGCACTTTTAGCTAAACGTAAAATGTAATGGTAATTGACATATCATTGACGTCTAGCAAATACAGTAGGTGTGGGTGTAATTCTAGTTGTCCACAGTGTGTTATCATTCACGGTTTGATGCAAAAGAGTTTGTGATAACATCAAAAATGAAGCAATGTACAAATGTACAGTAACCAGTCAAATTATTTCTGGGGGAGTGACAGAAACACTGTCCTTACCCCCCATTCTCATTCTTAATTTTAACTGACTGGTTACTGCAATGCCTGTTCATTGATCATCATTTTGGCATGAATAATTCACACTCGTATAATAAGTTTTCTTCCCAGGTGATGCCTTAGGCATGGTGGACAACACAAGCCTAAAATTTGCATGTGCAATTCTTAACAATAGAAGTAATTAACATAACAATACACCTCTATTGTTTCTTAGAAATTCAAGCCTAGCATTTCTGTGACCAAAGCTTGGAGAAACCACCATGCTTAAAAGGCCCCAGGGAAACACTGTGGCATGCATTCAAACCACAAAATGAAATCAATATGAAATGAAACAACACATCATGGACAACTAGTATTAATTAAATAACCAAGGTGACAGCTTTCTGCATCAATATGTTATTATGGCAGCGCAGAGATATTTTAAAGACTATATTTAATAGAGTAGAAGTCTGGGTGATATTAGTATTTAATATGCAAAAATTATTATTATTTATTATTATCGCAGTGGAAAGAAGATTCTGAACCATTTACAGAGATCACATTTTCATGCACTTTTTAATGAATTCATGCAAACAAAGAAAATTATTTAATCACATTTTTGAAACAATACGAGGATTAGCATGCAATTTTACGATGTCAAAGAGTGATCAAACCAAGGCATTTAATTGAGCAAATTGTATGTTTTATTTCTCTTCTCATATATGGAGTTGAACGATTTGAAAATAAAGAAAGCATGCACATATGCATAGAAAAATGTCACTTGTAACAAGTCAAACTATTTTTACAGCTAGAGGACGGTAGTTTGTAATATCATGCCAAGTACGGCAGCCAAATGAGCTACGTTCGAGCAGAGATGATGAAAATGTACGGCTTTGCATGCGCTGGAAACTGAGCATGCTGGAGAGATGACGAGTGAAGAATGAAAAAAACAAACACAGAGATCTGTTAGCTTTTTTTCAGAACGCTAGGTGACACTTGTATGAAGTGCTTTGCTTATAGAATGCCATGGAAAAAGAAACTTGTATTCTACCTCCTGTAATAAGTGATTATACTCCTTTCTCCTTTCCTCGTTAAGCTGGTTGCGCACTCGGTCGTAACTTCCCCGGGGTACAGGACGTGGTGATAGAGCTCCTCCTGAAATCAGTAAAAACATTTGTCATATTTTTTATGTGTAGGAAAATATCCAAGAACCAACACATACCAAAAATCTCAAAAGTGAATATTCGTGGTGTATTTGAAGTCTAATCGGACCGTAAGTGGGAATTTTTTAGTACTCTAAATATCCAAGTATATTTTAGTATAAAATAGTAACAACTTCATTGTAACCTTTGACCCTTAAACAAAGGAATTACATTGACAGAATTTGAGAAAAGACTTGGCAATGTAAATATTTCACAATGCGATGTAGTGACCATTTGACGGCCATATTTTTTCTACCAAAATTTTGGTGCACCATTTTGCACATTGGGAAATAAATTTTTACAATTTCTTTGCTAATTTTGAAACAAATGTAAATAATTTACAATTTTCTACAAATCTTGATTAAAAATAAATAAATATTCATGAATTATTCTGTGAAAGTTGAAAAAAGTCAACTTTGATCATACACAATGTTAACAATATTAATAATATTACAGTATACTGTTACATGTAATTATATTGTCAGTAGAATACTGTAAAACATGTCTTTTTCACGAGCATGTCTTTTTAGTGAATTTAGCGAGAGAACTAACTCACTAATTTAAGATGTCGCTAATGACTTCATTATTAAATTCAAAATGGCGCAAACAACACAGAAAACGTAATAATCTGCAGCGCTTCCTTATTACACTTGACAGTCTTTATTTGTTTTTATGGAGGTGATAACTGCGCATTTGTTTTGGCAGGCGACAGACAAGTATTGTGAAAACAGGAAATCAACAAAAACAAGAGAGATTCGCTCAATCAACATTTTGCTATTACATCATTTTACCACAATTCGCTAAAATAGTATGTTGCTTGTTCAACATGTTTTACAGTACTATTGGACACTTCGAGTGACGTATTTTTTTCCACTAAATTGCCGACTCAACATTTTTATGCACTCTCTTAGTGTTTGTAAAATTTAGACCAAATAAGTGCAATTCAGAATTCCACACTGGATTCACATGCTGGTTTTAATTTTTTCACCACCAGAACCCTAATTTTGAAGCCAACAGACAAAATTTAAGTAAATTTCCTATTTTTATCCCAAAAATTTGGCTATTTTTGAAAAAAAAAAAGTGCACACTTTAAGCCAGATTTTGTGAATCTGTGATGAAGAGAGGGAACAGGTAGTGAAAAGGTTAATGGAATACAAAGATTCAATGGTTTGAATGCACAAAAACAAATAGATGGCTTAAGTATAGGGTAAAGGGTAAAGGTCGATATGGAGGTACAGGGTAACCTAAGTATAAGCTGCAGCCTAAGATTAATTAAAGTATTTGATACATAAATAAATATTTAAAGTGCTGTGGTTTTCACAAATTTTTTTAATCCATGTAATTGCGAGTCAAAATTACTTACTACTGAATGAATTATTGAACATATAGTGATACATCATGTTATGATGTAACGTGACAGGAAATGGACAGACAGAAAACAGCTGTCTAGGCGCTGTTTGTATTTACATGTACATATATATCATGAGCATCCTGACATTTTTTTCCCACAAGTGTGTTCATTTGGTAGCACAAGTAGTTGTCTCTATACTAATAATATGAAAAAATTGATAAAACATACAGCTCACTTCAATAATAGAAAATGAAAAAAAAAAGATATTTATATATATATAATATAATAATAAAATAATTTATAAACAATTAATAAGACTTCTTTATAATAGAAGAATAAGAAACTGGCACACTACATTGTGAGAGAAGTAGAAATTTACTTGTCACATAAATCTATCAATACCTGTATCAACTATTTCCTGATTCTCTGGGGTTGATCCATTATTGTCTGTAGGGGTGTTAGCATGCAAGGGATTAATATAAAACTTGGTAATACAGAGGTAAACTACATGCAGGTGTTCGATATGAATAATATCACTGAGTGAAGGGATCACATTGATGTCCACCTGACTGCCCTTTAATTTTTACCATATTTTAATGAGACCATAGCATTTTTAACATTTTCATCATGATCAGTGGTGGGAAGAGTGTATGTTATGGCGGCCATTTACAATATAACTTTGAAATTTCTTTTTTTTCTAACTTTTGATGGAACAACAGTGTAAATAAAACCACCAACAACCTTCTATAAAACCTCAATGAGAAGAAACTGAAGCTGCTACATGTACATCGTCATGACAACTATAAATACCCACAATTCCCAGTATAGACTATATCATTCCCATCAACCATCTTGTTGGATGTACTACCTCATTTAAACTACAAATACCGTATTTTGTTTAGATACGCAAAAAAAATCATAATATTTTTGATATGCCCGACATATATTATTTACTGGAACTGATTGATTAGTTCTCCTTGAAACCTTGAATAGCAGCCACCAAACAATAATAAAATTATGAAATACGAAAGGAAAGTTGTCTAATGCACTTACCTTTCGTCGAAAAATGTGGTTCTTTTGAACGTGTAGGATGGCCGCCTGCTCTGGATGATGCCTGGTAAACAAATAAAAAATAAAGTAAGAGTGATAAATATATAAAAAAAAACAATTTGGTAAATATTATTCAGTGAACTGAGGTACACATAGAATAGTGTTTTACAGCAGGATTAAGGTATTAGTTAGACATTAGTAATTGCATTGTGGGATTGATGGTTAAATAAAAACAATATCAGGGATTTTTTTAAACAAGGGAACAGGGGTGCAGCACCCTCATGCCATGGCCATAAGCCCCCTTACCCTGGGGAGCAGATCCTCTGGCAACCATAAAATTCTGATTGACCAGGGATCACATGCGGCTAGTCTTCAACTGTGACCTGTCTGATAGTAATTTTGACCCCAAGGAAGCCATAAAATGCTTCATTTTAACTTAGAATTATCAAAAACTCCACAGCCTGGTAGAAAGAACCCTATCTCCCCCACTTGGTGGCGCCGCTGAATAGCAGTGCTCTCTCTTGCAGTTTTTTTCCTAGAAAAACCCCTGAATATATTAATATGTTAAGTGTTATAACAAGACTAATTATCATAATCATAATAATAACGGGAAATATGATTTGATCCCATCACAGAGGTGCATGCCTTCAGTGTATTAATGTTTGACCACCAATGGTCACCAGTAAAGCCACTAGTCACCAGTAAGGCTACTGGTCAAAAGTAAAGCCACTGGTCAGTAGTAAGGCCACTGACCGCATTCACTTGTAATGATTTACAAATATAATACATGTCATCTGAAGTTTCCAAGTTTAAATCTTTTAAGATAGTGACTAAATGTGCCTTTCAGTCGCCAACATTTATTTTTCAGGAGTCTGCCTGAGTGGCTGATTTGATTTTTAAGTCAATAGTCATATAGTAAATGTTTAATCTAGTTGATCTGTTGAACTTAAAACTACGGTACTGTATGTGCAAAATAGTAAATACAAGGAAAAAATAAACAAGCCATATTTGGTTCATTAGAAGCATGTCTGCAATGCAATGGAATCACACTCAAAATTGTATTTACTATATACAGTGTCATTTCAATATAACTCATGTTTGACCCTGGAGAACAAGTTTCAACAATTCTTAATTATAATTCTAGAAGTAGTTAGTGACCATTTGTCACGTAAATTGTCACTAGTAAACAAATGACATATACCCCTAAATAATGCAGTCCTACTTTATGTTAATTGCTAATATATTTATATACAACAAACACAAAGCAATTCTGACCTTGTTGGCAAAGCTAACTCCACCTTAGTAAACAATAAAATGACAAACAATGACAATCGTATTGTTGTTAACAAGCACACCGTGTGTTTACTTGTGAAATAATTGCTGTAAACAAGTCCTTTGTTAAAAGGAGATAACATAGTAAGACATATGTATCTGGGTTTCTTTAGGTCAAGCTGTTGCGAAATTAAGCATACACAATCAAGTAAACGTTCTTAATATGTTAATTTAAATCATAGACCCTCTAATAGATCTGTCAGAGGGTCTATGTTTAAATTCACTGATTGCAAAAACTGTTACCAGCCAAAACAAATAGAGATACAAATGTATGTAGCAAGGTAATTAAATACAAAGTACCGTATTTGTTCATTTTGTTTAGCAAAGCAGTGTCACATAGTGCTGTATTGCCATCCCATTCTTTCTTGTAGCCACAGTATAGTGTACATGCAACTTGTTGCTCAAAATGTCAACGAAGATGTCATCAAGAAAAAACAATAAAGTCTAGACTTTCTTTTGTCTACGATGAACACCTAATTTCATTAACTTTCGTATGGTGTCCATCAGTTTATCAGACCAAACCATTCCCACCTGCATTGAAAGCATTTTACAACTATCAACTAATAGCTGTATGTACGACATACCGGGTATGTCTGTAATGGGATTAGTAATTGACATGCTAAATGGGATTGAACTGAAGAGTTTGAACCAACATCAAAGTGAATTCCAAAGACTAGGAAGATTTGCAAATACACAGTGTATCAGTAAAATAAATCATAAAAAGTAAAATAATTCATTTTTTTCAGTTGTTTCAACTCAGGTAAAATTATCAGTAGTCACTTTGTTGGTATTAAATTCTGTCATAATTTCCCTATTTTTTTTTCAATAATTAAAATTATTTTATTAATAAATTAAAAAAAAACATTCAGTTATTTATGAGTATGTATTATTAAATAATTAGTTTCACTTGTAAAAAGATGTACTTATTTTAATTAGAATATTGATAATTAGTTTTGCACAACTTTGGTTTAAATTGTAGAAATAAATCAACAAGTGAACTGATTAAAGTGTAAAAAAACTAGTGTTTTACACATGATGTATATGTCGAATGAAACCAATATTGAACACAGCGTAGTGTGACAACTCTGGTGATTTAACTGTTATTTGTCAATTATTTTAATACATGCATTTTTATATACACTAATGAAATAATAAACATGAAACTATCAGGCCTTGAACTTCTGAATTTGAAAGGTAACCCACAATTTATAAACTGGCCTTAGCATATTATAGGAATAATATAGGAAATATCAAAGAAAGGACACCAAAGCAAACTCATTGGGCATCAAGACAATGCCGTTTAAAACCTTTGTGAAGTAGTAATCGTAACTAATGTCTAGCTGGCTGTCAGGGTTTGATTCTTTGCGAAAAGCTTCATGTATAGGAACTTAAGAAACTGAAAATTTATTCTGTGTTAGTTTTATCGCCAATCATGCTTTCATGTTCCAAAATTAAAATCCCTCTCTAACATTGGGGGGGGGGGTGTCAGAAGCAAACATCACGATTATAACAGTAAACCTCATCCATGTGTAATTTGTCAGATGAAATTGCGTTACAGACTACATACACATGTACTTTGATGTGATTAGATTTCAGATGAAAACACTATAAATTATCTTATACCTATCAAATAAATAGGAAGGAAACAAGAGAAGGCATGTCAGTCTATCTGCTATCATGGACTATGGACCTAAGGGTTTGTAGGTCAATACTGTTACATATAATATTGCAACGGTGACATTTAAATGAAATAAAGTGAAAACCTACCTGAGGCGGTAGACCACCATTAAGTTGTTGACGTTCCTGTGCAAGTTTACTCTTCTGATCAGCAATGAATCTATCGATATCATCGACTGCTGAAGTCATAATTTTAACTTAATGTGGTCAGAAACAGTTATTTTTGTGAGTTGACGGTTCCGGTTTAGGGCCGGGTGCAGCAAGAACTGGATAATTTCTGTGTGAATTAATTTTATAAGAGTGCAGTCAGAGCTAACGGTTTAACAGTGCGATGTATTAGCGAGAAAACCACCACAAAACTAACGTTATGAATAAGCCGATCACACGTGAAAATGTGACAGCCGTGTTTGGAAATTGGACAGTGAAAAACAACACGTTATGACCTGTGTTTGTAGGCATCTTTAACAAAATACTACAAACACGAGTAAGACTATAGAACAAGTTTGATTTTTAGTGATTTGCAAAAATTGTACCGATAATTTTTAACTCACCAACGAATAGTGTAAGTTGTCTTCGTGTCAAATAATTTAACTTCGAGGCAGGTCTCTCTTCTCCGATCACGCTGAGTAATGTCCGATTTGACACCTGACCTCGGTCAGTTCAGGTAGCAACATGTACACAAATAATAATTCCTTTGTTCCTCTCAAAGATAATGAGTGTAGATCGCTGTAAAATTTTCCACACTGAGGTCAGATCATTTAATATCCCCCAGAGGAAACAGATCTCAAACTACTGTGGCCAAACATCGATAATTCAAGGAATTTTGTACTCTCAGCGCAACTACGGACACCCTTTCAAATATGTCGTCGATATTATGACAGCTGCATGCTGGGTAAATTTTGAGTAAAGTCTCGCGAGAACTTTGGCGAGACTTCGTGTTAGATTTAAACAGTGCGTAGTAATGCTCTATAATAAAATCTGCAAGCTGCTATAAAACGTAGATTTTAGACGTTCGAAACGACTTTATTATGACTTCACTAAATCGATAGTTAAACACGCTAGTTTCATTATCAGCAAAAAGCACTGATTTAAATATCTGGTAAATAATCTCAACGTTGAGGGCGCACATCAAGACCATGGCACGCGTCCGGGCACGCTTATGTATCGGCGAGGGTTTTCCACCCGGCCCCCCCACTCAGGATCCATAGGGGGCCGCATGCGCGTTCCCATTTTCTCGGGAAAGGGGGTACTTTTTGACGATCTGTCTCGGGAACATTTTCCCGAGAAAATCGTAGAAAAGGGGGTATTTTTTGCTTGTTTTCCCGAGATATTCAAAATAGGGGGTGTATTTCAAAACACTTCCCGAGATATACAAAAAAGGGAGGTTTAAAAGGAGTTCTAGAAAAGTTCCCTAGATAGGG